CTGTTAAAGGCACACAGATTAAAATGACGGCATCAACCTGAAAGCCATGTGATTGTCATTAATGTATCACTGAATCTGTACTTTTTAATTGGTGGCACTGTCCTAAAGTCAACAGTGTAGTAGGCACATTTGGCTGGCTGGTGTATTGACACATTCTGGCATTTCCAACTGGCTCAGCACCAGTGCTTTTCACACCACGGCCCAGTGGAGCAGCAAAGTCTTTGGTAGCCTGGATACAGCAGACCTGGACAATTTGGACAATAATTAAGTCAGGAATTTTCCTTAGACCATGTGAATAGGCTGCACCTGACTACACCCCCCAGCCTCTGAGTAAGGCGGTTCACCTTCACTATCAGGCACTTGATAAGAAACCAATTCAGCCAATAACATTAGCAGCACGCACGCTTCACCTTTAGTTAATGAAATGCCTAAACAAATATGCTCTCTGCAGTCTAATACTCCCAGCAACTATAGAATGCAATATGGTACATACACAGGATCTAATTTACTGCATCTGTTGTGCTGTGCGGAATTTTCTCACAGCATGGTAATAAGTGGGAGATAATCTCTCTTCTAGGCATTGAAATTGATGATAAAGCAGCTCTATAGCAGGCTAACAAATAACGGGCAATCACATTACTAGATAGCGGTTTGTGTCTTCATAATTTAAAGCAACAGTCTCATCTGTATATTAGCTAGTTGTAAGACATAAAAGACTCTGCTGGCTTCATACACACATGAATGACATGTGCCAATGGCTACAATTTCCATCCAAGCCTTCCTAAACCATGCCATTTAAATATTATAGAAAGCTTAGGCTTAGGGATACTGACCTGAAATCCAACTCTGGATATATATATATATATTTTTACTGTGTGGTTTTGTGCGTCTCTTAGTCCTGTCTCTCCAGCCATTCCTCTCAGACTGTGTGACAACAAAACGGTAGGATGTAGTACTGTGAAGTCTATTAGGACAAAATCACACAGTGCCTCTGTGCTGTCAGACACATTTGATTGCACTTCATGGTGGGAATGAGGTTTCAGCAGCAATTTTCACTTCGTACAATAATGAATGTAGGGCAACTAAGGTAAGGGGATGGGGAGAAAGTGGGCGGAAAAATAACAGTGTCTGAAATAGTAAGTGTGTTTTCTGAGACAATGTGAACACTGATGCTTCTACTTTGAGCGCATCTCATAGTGAGAGTCACCCTATTTTCACTATCCAGTTAAGCAGTAAATATTCAGCCAGTTTAGGGGGATATTAAGGTTGCGTGGTTCATTTTCTTGGCGCTAAACGGTGATATGGTGTCTGTTCATATTTACTAATGCATCACAGTGGGGTTTTGTGCCAGAGATAAAGACGAAAAGTGGCACTACAGGATGTATTTAGGCTTCAAAAATCACAAAAGCGATGTTCACTCGTGAAGATTATCTTGGTGAACAAATCATGTAATTGTCATAAACCTTTGTTTGTCACAGAACTTGCTTTCCGCAATAATCCAGAAGCCTATGGAAAAACTCCAATTGGCTTTTTTGTTGAGGGAACCAGGAACCAGTGTGTTGCCCTACAAAAAACATCCCTATGGCTCGCTATGTGGGCTCTGTGGGTGATGGAAAAACAAATGTATTTGTTGGGGACTATTTTCTCTGGTAGAATAATTTACATTTTGTGCTCTAATGAATATTTAGAGGCAGGATGATGTATGTGTATTATGTATTGACCTAAAATAAACTACAGTACCCATGTTCACAGTAATGAAGGACCAACAGTGTGGCTGATTTACTGTATGTGTTTTTTGGACAACAATGGAACTCAGTGGCTCAGAGGAATAACAACGTCAGGCTTGGAGTAAACAGACAAAGCTCGTCTGTGTGTCCACTATTGGCTTTGGTCCTTGGTATGTGTTGTTAAGCACATACATCTCCATCCATCCAACATCTATACTGCCTATCCTACACCCTGGACAGGTCAACAAAAAAAAATGTTCTAGAATAAATGCCATTATGGCTCTGCCTCTCGCCCAATGACAGCTAGGGTAGGCTCATAATGGATGGATGGATGGAAATGCCATTATGGTGATTTTGACTTCATTTGCACTACTGTGTTAATACTGCAAATAGCATAATGAAAGATTCCTATCATCTACCTTTGCTCAGGAATATTTTCAGACAAGTCGTTTTCATTTAACTCAATATTGGTGTTACTATATGCCTGCTGTAGGTGATACCGGTCTCATCACCACCTTCTCAACTGTCAGACCCAGTTAAATCACTGTAACACTTAGACCCTCTGGTTTTCATCCACAGTCCCTGGCAGAAAGCGTCAGATTGATAACTCCTCATTTCGCTCATTCACCATCACGCAAAGAACATTAGTAATAGACGGCTTACTTGTTACTCATTACTATAAAAGAGGCTTAGAGGAGCCTTTCATGGTTTATGCACATTCTACACAATACAGGTTTTAGGGAATTAGTCGTATACTTATAACATGGGTTCGAATGCCATTCAGCATAGCATATCCTTTGGTGTTTACAGTGTGTAATCAAGTGACGCACTTTACAGGGCAATCACGTCCTTTATCACAGAGGAACGGTCGCCACAGAGTAGGAGGGTAGGCCCTGTGGGTAATAGAGTGTGGTGGGTGCTTGATTGGGTATGGAGACTGAGAAGTTTTGCTCACACTCCTCTTCTTACCTGCCCTTCACATCTACAGGTCAGAGCAGAGGGTGCAGCCTTCTACATAAGAAGCAAAATACACTTTCATGCAACTCACGTTTACTTATTTATTTAATGCTTTAATGGAATGCTCCAGCCTCTGGGCCAATGGAAGCTCATTAAAGGGCCGATTAACACACATATACAGTATGTAGGCAAAAAAAATTCGACTCTCTGGTTTTTGTTTTTCTCCATCTTGCACCCTCATTCTCAGTGTAAGAGGGAGGTACAGAGCTGCCTGAGGTAATAAGAGGTGACGTGATGTTTATGTAACCTCCAAGCCTCACAAACCAGATGCAATTATGGGCTCCTGGTCCCTGTGACCCTAGCCCTGTAGTGAATCACCGCAAAACTGCAACCCCCTGTCCCAGGAGTGAGACTGGTTTTTCAGGGTGAGGGGGGGAAGCGGGGTGGTGGAGTGGGGGCAAACAAGAGTTGAGTTCTTTTCACAGCTCCCTCTGATGGGAGCTCTCGCTGCCTAATCCAAAGTGACGGGCACTTCAGTGAAGAGGGCGCAGAGCCCCCCAGTTTCCGCCAGGAGACCTCAGCAGGGGAAGCAGAGGAATCCAGGGTTGGGGTGGCAGACTTATTTTGGTCCAGTGAGAAAGCATGGGGTAGGGGCCTCATTACAAAGCTTAACTGCACTCACAGACCCTCATTAACCCGCCACACCAGTGACTCAAATGAAAACAGACAATAAAAAGAGGTCGCTGTTTGAATGAAGGCCTCTATTGGGCTTAGATTTTCTGCAATGTAACAAAGTGCTTCATGAAACCTTTACACATTATTATAGATTTCTGTAAACACTGAAGTGTACTACAGTGCATCAATTTAAGTGAAGAAATGTCCACTTAATTGTGTTCATCCAACTTATATATCCTTCCTATTTCACTGCTTCCATGACAGCATCTAGACATGCCAGAGGAAAGTAATGAGAGAGTGAGGGTGTAGTGTAGTTAAACAAAACCCAATATATCCGCTGCAATAAAAGCACAGTAACACAGTGCAATAGGTAGCTCAATCACAGAAGGCAGTCCGCAGTACAGGGGGACGGATGATGAGAGATGACAAGCGCTTAAGTGTGTTGTCAATGGGATACAAACCCAGTGCAAAGATAAAGCCCAGTCTGTCTGCTCATCACTAGGGGAGCAAAGATTGGTATGCCAAATGATGTGTTTCAGAGAGACAATTAAATAGCAAATCAATGCCGCTGCCTTAGTGAAATAATCAGTGATGCAGCTGACTTAAACTGCAATCACATAGTGGAAAGCATATAACACTTCAGTACAGAGTGAGGAAGAGAGACAAAGAGATTTTGAGGTATATTTACAGAAGATCCTAAAGATTAAAGCAGCTCTAACTAGCTTTTGCCCTCTAACTTTCGACCGTTAGAGAATGAGTGAGAGTCAAAACGACCTCAAGCAGTATCCCCCCTCCTCTTCTCCCTCTGCTCCTCTGCCCCACCTGCCCTGATCATGAAACAACGTCATATATGGTTACTACAGCTGGAGACAGACTCGGCAGTCAGGAAGCTCAGCAGTAAAAATGAACTCCTCCAGATCTAACGCGTATGGAATCTAGTCCATAAAGCTGGTGGTTTTTGGCGGCACTGCAGCGCTACAGGTCTTTTTGTTTTTTCCTCAGTAATACTGATAGAGTAGTACTGTTCGAGGAACTATCGTACAGCAGGGAGACGACACGTATAGACAACTTTTTACTTGATTTATCTGAATTTGTGGTTAATGCAGCTTTAACCTGTTTTTCATTAAGTTTGCAATACTGGCCTTATGCTAATCACTGAAGTAGCATTTTAGTTTACAAGGTATACTACATGGACATATTATGTTTTAAATGATTATGTTTTAACATTACAACCAAGTGGGTGGATGAGTAATCACTGAAAAGTAGATGAAGTGGAGCAGCTGCTAGCTAACCTGCTCTCAGCTCTACTGTCTGAAAAACATGGTGATGAGGTCACACTGTAAAGACCAGCAGGCCATCACATTCTGTCTGTCACATCAGCAGCAGCACTCTCTTTCCCATTTTAGAGCCCTTAATCTGCATACATCACCATACAGGATGGGAAAGAAACTGACTTAGTGGTGGTCTGTGCACTGTGCATTATGTGCTTGTAGAGCAATGAGTGTGATGAAGAGGTACTGTACAGGGCACAAGCAACAAAGGAGCAGCACAGAAATAGACATAGTAAAAAGATGAAGAGAAGACAAGAGGAATTCACACGGGGGATATTAAGTGTGGAAAAAGACAGATGGGCCCACTTACCAGCCTGGTTAGTGGTAATGTTGACTGAGGCGTACTGAGGGGAGTAGGGGCTCTGATCAGACACCCCGTTGACAGCCTGCACCTCAAACGTGTACTGTGTGTGGGCCAACAGGTCACTAATGTAGACCCGGGGTTCTGTCAGGCCCAGCTGACGGGGCAAAAACTGAACATTGTCCCCGCAGCGGGTGCAGCCACCCCGGCCCCCGCCGCAGCTCTTGCAGATGATGTTGAAGACAACGTCCTCGCGGCCCCCTGAATCCCGAGGAGGAGTCCACTCCAGCATCACAGATGTTTCATTCACACTGGAAATAACGTTCTGCGGAGCTGAAGGGACAGCTGCAACACAGAAGGGTTTCTGTAGTTAATATTTAAATGATTAAACCAGTAGAAACTAGGGATGGGATGATGCGACTTTTTCTTGGTACAATTCAATGCACGATACGGTGTGTACAAATAGATCCAATCTCGATACAATTAAAAATTCAGTGATAATGTTATGACTAGCTTTTTTCCCCTTTTTCTAGCAGTGGTTTGATTATGTAAAGAAGAACCAGATTATCGAATGTGTTCTGTTAGGCTATCTTTATAAAAAATTATTAAGTTACTGGTGTATTTCTATCACTAGACAAAACAATACAGTGAACGTCACCGTATTGTTTTGTCACTAACGCGCATTTAAATATCTTACCATGTCTTTAAGCTTTATTGACAGATTTTCTGACCACCTGGCACACACTAGTCTCATATTCACTGCCCTTTTAGATTTGTTTTTGGTTTCTACTAACTCCTGGGGGATCTTGCTCTTTAGCTCATTTGTCTGTCATCTGCTTGCTGCTTGGCAGGAAGCACACAGCGGGTTTATCAGCGCTTTTTCGGTCCCCGCTGCTCCCAGGAACAAGGCTGATGAAAGTGGTGAGAGTAAAACAGTAGTGCTGGGGCCTTTAAAACCAAAACACTGAGCAGAAAGATGCTATAATGATCCAGAGAGCTGAGGGGAACATGGTCACATGGTCCATTGTTAATTGGCCCAAAAATGGATTATATAAATGTAATTTGAAGTTTACCCTTGGCTTTTTTTTGCTAAAAAGATGAATGACAAATCTCTTACATACAATACTGTATATAAGGTATAGTCAGGAAAGAGATTACGAGCGATTAAAACATGGTTGTCACTTGTATGAGCTTCATTGACACTGCACTTTTGCCTCAGCTACAAACCATACAACTGTTCTAATTCTGTGACGGTAGTTTATGGTGTAAGCCTACACAGAAGGAGAGAAAATCCACAAGCTCACTGAGATCCTACATCCTCTTTGAGGTCTGAGCTGACTGTATGCCAAGCTGACGATGGCTCTTCCCTCGGGATGCCCATTTACATTCTCTAAATTTCCTGCTGGTGTTCGCTTTGTCAAGTGTTTTCTTAACATCTATTGTTGACAGTCTTCTCATGGAGCATATAGAGCGGAGAGAAACCTGCTGTTCCTCCTACTGAAACATTCTTAGCAGCGAGGCATTATGTGGTGGAAACTTTCCACATGGTGCTACACGTTGAATGACAGGCCAAACAAACAAACAAACAATGAGAACTGTTTATGTTTTACAGCCATGAGCGCCTAATTATGGAAGACGTAGCCTCGTGGACTAATGAGATAAACAATTCCACTCTGCCCTCAGCATCCTAAATCTGAATCGATCACTTCTTATTTAAACTCCTTTTAATTGGCAGCAATTAACAGATCTCTAGTTTTGGAAGAAAGCCCACTGGAGTGCCCTTCTTGGTGTCTCTCGAACATGGAAACATAACTCCTCCTTGGCATCTCCTTCCTAGGGAGGAGGACTAATATCTCCCCCATTTGCTGGTGGGCTGCTCCGATGGACCCATTCCCTTGCTTTAATCAGGTCGGGCCCTGCTGTGCTTAATACGGGTGACGTGACGCTGCTGCTTTCTCATTCACAACAGCTGCTCGACTCCCACAGCCAGGCTTATGCAAATCTCCTTTGTTGGAGACCATCACATCTTTTCCCTGCTCTCAGCCTTTCAACAGGCAGAGAGGGAGAGTGAGGAAAAAACACTACCAAAACGTTGAAAGGGGCTTTTTTCCCCCTCACTCACCCCGTTTTGTTTTAGTCAGCCCACACTCTATGCACTGATTCACTGTCTTTCTCACATACACATTCCCGCTCCTTCATCATTTCTTTCCCTCACACTTCACCCCACCCTCGCTCACTTTTACTTTGGTTTATCCTTCTGTCTCTTCCCCTCTCTCTCTCAACCTCGGTGTCAGCCTCAAATTCAAATTCAAATTCAAACAGCTTCATTGGCATGACAAGAGAGAGTCTCGTCTCGGCTCATTCTCCGTGCCTGCGCCTTCACAAAGCTACGTGCTCTGGCCCAGTAACCTCTGGTCTGGCCTGGAATACGGACTGTGTGATGTTGAGGAAGGGCGGCCAAGCCTTGTGTGCTGGGTCGGATCTGTGGACAGCCACGCTGTGGGCATGTCAGTGTCATGATCATGTGAGGGACAGCTCTGACAGGCTCTCTCTGTTTGGAATTACACAGACTATGACTGTCCTTTGATCCCGTGGTTCTTCTGCCTCAGGGTGTGAAAAGCGCCGAGTTCATATTTGAATTTAAAGACTTTGTGAGCACGTATTCATGTTTGTGTACTATATGTGTCTGGGTGGAGTGACAGTTACAAACGTATAACAACATTAGCACTATACATACTTGTGCATGGCATCCGGAGGGGATCCGAGTCTGTGCGATAGTATCCGTTGCGGCAAATGCAGTTAATGGCGCCTTCACTGGTGGTACGACTGTTGATGGGACACTGCAAACAGGCCTCATCTCCTTGAGTCGGTTTGAAAAACCCTGATGGACAAGCTGAAAACAGGAGAAGATAAAAAAAAAATTACAACCATGTTTTTCCCAAAAGCCCCGTGAATATTAATTAATTTCTTTGTGGCAAAAATGTTGCTTGTATAATGACGGATAATTAAGCCTCAGGCACAACGTAAAGGAACTATGCTTTTAACTAATGATTGTTTTTTGATTAATTGCTTTATCAAACATTTCCACTTGAGAGAGCACAAAGTGAATTTTTAAAGTCTTTAAAATGTTTGTTTTTAGTTGGTGGTTCATTTCAGAAGCACTTTCTGAAACTGTCTTTTCATCCCAATGGCAATGAACAGATTAAATGTACTGACAACATAAAGAACAAAATCCATCATCTGTGGCAGCAGCATGACTGAAAAAAGCCTGAGCAGTAATTTTACCCGGTCCAAGCAGAACCACTGGATGGCCTACCTGCCTGTCAACCTGCTGCAACTTCCTACTTGCGCTCATTACACGACCCACGAGTCGTGTTACTGCGCTGTGTTGATAGCTAAAGCTAGGGAGTTTTTCTGGTTTTTGCAGGAACACCAACTATACCTTTAAGATCTAAAACTCAAAAATACTTATTAGATATTTATAAAAATCAAAACAGAACAGAAATAAAGCTTAACTTTGTGTTCAGTTTCATTTCATCTTTACAAGGGACAATGTTAACCACAGGCAAAATTGTCTGTTTTAGTATCCTTGGAATCACATCTGTCTGATTGTTGCCACTTCCTTATTTTAACCGATTGTGATTCAACTGATGGAAAGCACGTGCATTTGAGTATGTACACTATGTGATAACCAGAGAAGCCACTGAGAAACCAGAATTCCAAACAACCCAAAAACAATATGTATGAGCATCATCCAACATGTAAACACATAGCAGTGAAAGCTTGCATGTGAGTCAGCTCTCTGTAAAATGTGACAACACTGTATTGTACTTTTGCTTTTAATTATTTAATATGCTTGAGTTGCCTCAGAAGTGCTCTGCTTTTATTAAGAGCCTCTCTCTGGAAACCTTAGAGCAATGTTACATTCATAATAAAGACAATGGTGAGCACAAAGGCCGTAGCTATCATTAAAATCTGCCTGTGTGTGGGTGAATCTTTTTGTGTTGCCAAAAACGTCAGTCACTGCAGCTACAAACAAGCTAACTTAGCTGTCTGTGAATCCTCTCCTGAGTCACAAACCGCCAAAACCTTCACTGCTAAAAAAACAACAACCCTTTATCCGGCATCTGCACCTGAACCGTATCAAGAGCTTTTTTCTATCTTGGGCCAAATCTGCTACGGTTTTGCTTCAGGTAATCGAGCTACCGCCTGCCCCACCGATAAAGGAGAAAATACAGCAGTGTAGATACAGAGGTGTTGGAAGTACAGTAACACAAAAAAAAAAAAAAAAAATTCACACGGGACTCATTGCATATATCGAGCTAAAACCCCTCAGGGTAGTCTGGGCTGCTGTTTCTCTTAGTAACAGTGTAAAAAGAACTAATAATGTATTGAGTCTGATGAAAGAAAGCAAAAAACAAGCTTTTCCATCAGTTTATGTATCTTAAATGTGGAAGTTAAATGTGGTCAGCTGGTTTTTTTTTTTAGAAATCCACTGTCATGGCTGATTTCTTCTGCCTGTAATATTTAAAACAATCTGTCTCTCATTACAGAAACAGTGGTGTCATCATTTCTGATAGGTTTCTAAAATCTTCTATGACATGACTGCAGCTTTCTACGTGGTAAAGTAATAACAATACAGCCATTATTTCATTCTGGGGCTGTTTGAGCAATTACCGCTCAACTGTAGCATCTGGAATATGGAAACATCTGCAGCTGCAACTCTCATTTGAAGGAGGTCAGCTCATGAGGCAGAATTAGTTGGAGTCCAATCCCAGTGTTTATATTAGACAGGAACATCACTGTACTCAGAGACCTTATAGGCCAGGGATGAATGATCTTTTATCCGTTTTAAGTATATTATTTAGAACCATCAACCTCTGAATCCGCCCACCAAAAAGCAATAGGCTGTAACAGTACTGTAAAATGTACTTTTCAAATAAATAAGCATTGATGTAACTATGTAATTTGTGTTGTTTTACTGATACTTGTTAGTGCAGCTGTATCACCTTTACAAGAAACAGATTCACAAATACAATAAGTTTCAAAAAGGCCAAACATCTCTGATTTCAGCACAAGAGACATGAGTGATGATATTAGCGAATGTTTATGCTAACCATAAACATGTGTCAGTAAGTTACAAAGCACAAATATTATTCGCAACAAAAGTTATTCCAAAATGCATCTGAGGTAATCTTAACGATCTTCTCACTGAATCTTAGCTTTGACATGTTTTTCTTCTTCCATGATTGATGGGGGGAAAAGGCTTTGGGCAGAGAGCGAAACATGAGGCCTAGACATTCACACTGTCAGTCAACAGGGTGTGTGAATGAGGCCTAGGCAACTGCTATGTTGGGAATTGAGACTGAACCTCAACGGCGCAGTGAGGTCTACGGGAGTGCGGCGCTCTGAGGACCAACACCAAAGGAAACAACACAGAGGTAGTGACAGGGAAGGGGAGCAGTGTAAAGCAGGAAACAAAGAAGAGAAGGGAGAGGTGGGGAACGGCTGTGTGAAACTTTTTCAACTAAGGAATTCAGCGTGTTAATGTATCCACAGTGAATGTATGTGTTGCAACAAGTATATAACATTCAAAAATCTAAAATGAGCATGAGGAAAAACACAGTTATAATTGATCAGCACATATAAAGCTGGATCATGCCCCCTGCTACCACAGTGGTTCTACTTTAAAATATTCTGTGGTAGGAAATGCCAGCGCCGCAGAGAACCAAACGTCCATAGATACAGTTCTCTATTCAGATTTCTATCTTTATAAATATATCTCTAAATCATCACAAAGAGGATTCTGTTACCAAGCTTGCTCATCTGCTACCTGAGAAAGTTAAAACAACCCATGAAACCTGTGAACGCCATCCTATCCAGTTCAAGAGGATGCAATATTACATGCTCTGGCATGCCTCTCTGCTCTGTCACGGTCATTATTTATGGAAATATTTGGGCATTTTCCACTTTGAACCTAGATGACAGATTGTAAGAGTTGCGAAGTTTCCTGGTGTCAGATGTAGAGAAGCGGAGATGTGGTGAGCAGTGATTAAAAAACAGATCAGAGCTTTAATTCCCTACCTCCCTGCCTGCCCAGATTGCTGCTGCTGAGCTGTTTGATCACCAACCTGGCAGCCTCACTCAACTTGCAAGAGCTAAGGGCTGTTTTTATGGATGTTTCCTCTAACTTCAAATATCCTTCTGGCAAGAAGAGTTAATTAATCTAAGAATATTCATTGACAACAACCCCTCTGTTGTTTCTGCTTCCTATATTTAAAACACACACACACACACACACACACACACACACACCACTATTAATATCATTAATAGCATCAAGCATGCCACGCTTGCTATCTAATCTCTGGGGACTGTGAATGTGGGTTCTGGATTCTGGGACAAACAATGAAACGTGGCAATAAGTCAAGAACAAAAGCCACACGGAAAAGGGAATTTATAAACACTTCAGACTTAATTTAGTGGAAGCCATATCAAGAGGTCCAGAATACCTCAAACTGGTTCCAGAGACACAGCATGTTCATTTATTTGAAAAACAAGAGAAAACTTCTGCCAAAAGAGAAACTTGTTTTGTTTTCAATGCTGCCTGATAGTTTAAAGACCATGTATTGCATTACTTTTATCTAATAGTGTCTTAAAACTGCAGTCTGAATAATACCTCCCTTATGTACATATATTCCAAACCCTCAGCTGCTTGTGTCTTTGTTTATGACTTTCAATAACATATAGTGACATAAAGACTTTAATTTGGGGTTTTTGCTAGGCTCACTGATAAAAACAGGACTGTGAGAGGGAAGTGACTGTCAAGGGTACTAGTCGTTTTTTACAGCAGTTCGTTTACTGGTTGTTTTAAAGGTTTCCTGAATATTATAGCCAAATGAAGTTTATGGCACATTAAAGACAAGATCTCCTGCTAAAATCATCTGAATCCCACAAACCCTGTGTGTCTGTGAGTGAATGTGTGTGAATGCGAAAAGAAACACCCTAAAAACAGAGAAGAGAGACACAAACAGAAAGAAAGACGTGTTGTTTTCAACAGTGAGCAGCCATACTGGAAACTGTGGATGTGACCACTCTGACTAAATCAGCAGTTACATACACAAACACAAAGCTCATAAAGAGAGGCTAAAAAGCATTTCCATTAAGTCCACCTGGCCAGTGCTGAACACTGACTAGGACCAGAGAATCAGGTGGCTGATAATCCAGCCGAAGGCCACACCTATTGAAGAAAAGAAACCCCAACACCCCTCCGGTTTTTTTCCACACACCATCTCTCATCTCCAACAGCCGACAGAAAGACTCTTTGTCCGGTAGTCTGGGGCATCACAGCAACAACAACACAACCCTCCGGCCCCCTCTTCTCTGTTTCCCCCATTCCCCCTTTTCAGGATCTAGTCCACCCTCCCCCAAACCTGCTTTATTTAATGAACACACCATTAAAGAAGAGACAAAGACAGACAATGTGTGTGTGTGTGTGTGTGTGTGTGTGTGTGTGTGTGTAGTGTTCAGGATGTGAAAGAGAAAAGACTGGAGGGGTTAAAAAAGAAAATCAGAGGTGCTAGGTTTTGTGAGCACAGCAGGAAAATGTGCTGAAAGCAGTGAAAATGGCCAGTAGCAGAGGGACTGTGTGTGCACACGGATGCTGGGTATTTCCCTGTATTCCACTGTGACCAAAGAGGCCACAATAGTAAACCACATACAAGTCTAGGCCTCTGCTTGCTTTGGCGCTGTCTGTGAGAACAGTTTATATCAATCAGCGCCGGGACAGATCGGAGGCTTTCACAAAGAGAGGTGTTTCTTTCACAAGACAGACCAGTGTTCCTCAGAGGAGAAGCTAGACTAAGACAACCTGTTACCCTTTAACGTTCTCTG